TTTCCCGCCACTGCTGCGCACACAACGCCTCTACACTCGCTCCGGATTTCTCTCTACATGGAGACAGGAGTCAATACATGGGAAAACAAAGTAATTGGAGTTACTTGTTTGAAAAAGTAACTCAGATATTTTTTATGTAAATTAAAAAGTAATGCGTTACTTTACTAGTTACTCGAAAACAGTAATCTGATCGCGTTACCTGTAGTGCGTTACCCCCAACACTGAAGGGGTAATGGGACCTTATTAAAACATTATACTCTGAAAATAATATATATATATGAAATTACATTTCAAAATACTCCTAATCAGACTACATTTACTTTTTATGGATTACATGATTACATATTATTCACACAATAGCAATAAATTATTCAGAATTTATTGATTCTCCCTAACTCCTCTTCATCTTTTAAATTTTCCTTTCTAAAATATACTACCGCTTATATTCATTCAGAAAGTCTGTTTTGTGGACATTCACACAGAGATCAGTCACTAGTCAGGCGGCCACATAGCATTTGACCACTGGATTTACAAAAATCAGTTCAGGTTTAAGATGGGTTTCAACATTGCATCAACTACTGATGAACACATTAATTAAGGTTATTTAATCATGTATTACCGTGTCTTTGGAAGGCTTTTGTCTTTCAAACACATTAAAATGCACAAATTTGCACAGCCTGCTATTTCTTATTTACATGTAATGCAGGGATTCCCAAACGTTTTTGTCATCTGAACCTCTTTCACCTAATATGTTTACTTGAAGTACCACTGAGATTTTAAAATAAATATTTAATAATTAAATCACATTTGCATGCTCAATTTAGTCCCAAGGAGTATTGAAATAGTACACTTACAAGTATACTACTAGTACACTGATATTTGTATACGTACTACATAAAGTATACTTAAAAATATACTTGAACTTTACTTAAGTATACTTACTAAAATAAACGAAGTATACTACTTTTTGGTAAGAGAATGCAGACATAGGCTACTGGGCAGCGATCACCTAAAAGATTAGTGCACATATTGTTCAAATGTCAAATATTGAATAAATGCATTTGATTGGTAAACCAAATTCAGACTTTACGCTTCAATCTCAAATGGTAATGCATGGAATTTACAGAAAAGCTCAACTAAATAACAACGCTAATAAGAGGGGGGCGTGGTGGCTTTGGCTATCGGCACGCCAGTCAATTTACCCCACAGCCAATCACAGTCCCCCTCCTTGCTCGGGCCTAGCCCAATGGTTAATACGGCCCTGGTTATAAATGTAAAAACTAAAAATTTTTTGTGTTTTTTTGTGTATGTTTCTTCTGTGTGAAGTTGTGTTCATTTGTTTCGGTTTGTCTCACACACTCACGGGCTGCGCGACTTTGTTTCTGTCAATATATTATTCATTATCAGTCACCGTTTACACCAAAAGTAATAAAATTATAATCATTCTCGCCGAAATTTCGCTGCTTCCTTAATTAGATGTTTTAATCAGATTAGTTGTCCGGTCGGGCTGGTAAAATTCTCTTTCTCTTGCCCCTTCAAAAAATCCACTTGTCCCAGACAAGCATTAATATCGAGCTCTGTTCCTGTATAAACAAAATTCAACCCGCCAAAGTGACCGTGTTTCCCGCCACTGCTGCGCACACAACGCCTCTACACTCGCTCCGGATTTCTCTCTACATGGAGACAGGAGTCAATACATGGGAAAACAAAGTAATTGGAGTTACTTGTTTGAAAAAGTAACTCAGATATTTTTTATGTAAATTAAAAAGTAATGCGTTACTTTACTAGTTACTCGAAAACAGTAATCTGATCGCGTTACCTGTAGTGCGTTACCCCCAACACTGAAGGGGTAATGGGACCTTATTAAAACATTATACTCTGAAAATAATATATATATATGAAATTACATTTCAAAATACTCCTAATCAGACTACATTTACTTTTTATGGATTACATGATTACATATTATTCACACAATAGCAATAAATTATTCAGAATTTATTGATTCTCCCTAACTCCTCTTCATCTTTTAAATTTTCCTTTCTAAAATATACTACCGCTTATATTCATTCAGAAAGTCTGTTTTGTGGACATTCACACAGAGATCAGTCACTAGTCAGGCGGCCACATAGCATTTGACCACTGGATTTACAAAAATCAGTTCAGGTTTAAGATGGGTTTCAACATTGCATCAACTACTGATGAACACATTAATTAAGGTTATTTAATCATGTATTACCGTGTCTTTGGAAGGCTTTTGTCTTTCAAACACATTAAAATGCACAAATTTGCACAGCCTGCTATTTCTTATTTACATAATAAATTATTCAGAATTTATTGATTCTCCCTAACTCCTCTTCATCTTTTAAATTTTCCTTTCTAAAATATACTACCGCTTATATTCATTCAGAAAGTCTGTTTTGTGGACATTCACACAGAGATCAGTCACTAGTCAGGCGGCCACATAGCATTTGACCACTGGATTTACAAAAATCAGTTCAGGTTTAAGATGGGTTTCAACATTGCATCAACTACTGATGAACACATTAATTAAGGTTATTTAATCATGTATTACCGTGTCTTTGGAAGGCTTTTGTCTTTCAAACACATTAAAATGCACAAATTTGCACAGCCTGCTATTTCTTATTTACATGTAATGCAGGGATTCCCAAACGTTTTTGTCATCTGAACCTCTTTCACCTAATATGTTTACTTGAAGTACCACTGAGATTTTAAAATAAATATTTAATAATTAAATCACATTTGCATGCTCACGGTTCTCTGACGTTGGCTAATGGTCACATGACATGATGCGGGTAAACAAATAAAATATTTCATTTTGTTAGTAAGTGTTTTATTTTAAAATTATTTATTTATTTTTACATTTTTATAATTGAATGAATTATTAGCTTTTCATTAAACTCAGTTCCTTTAGGAACCCTAGTTTGGGAAACCTTGATGTAATGTTATTTAATGTTTAATGCACCTCATGTTGTTAATAACAATGAATGGAATATCTTTTCTTACTCTTTGTATTTTTTGCATCAATACAAGATTATCCTATTTAAATCAATGTGATAAACAAGTTAGGTCAAAAGTAATCTACAAGTAATCTGATTATATTACCTAAAATGTGTAATGTAA